GTAAAATACTTGACTTTTCCGACCTCCCCAATCACCCCCGTAAATCTCGCCCCCACTGTATTCAGTAGTCGCTCTTTTCCTTCCCCACATTTCTCCTATGTCCCAACAGCCTCAGACGCACTGACCGCCATTGCCCCCGCCATGTCTGTCCTCTTCGTCCTCTTCTCCGCCTCTCTCCTCTACTGCTCCGCTGCTCTCCCATACCCTTACAGTAAGCATTTTCCTCTTACGAGAGTCATTCAATCACATCTGATTTTAGCCTCTTATTAACATCATTTGATTTCATTTTTCGTTTTGTAGACACCAGCTATCACATAGACTGCGGCGGCCAGAGTCCTTCCACCGAAATCTACAACGTTACCTGGCTGCGGGACCTATTCTTCTCGGGTGGCGCCTTCGGTTACGTCTCTGAACCTCTCCATTTCAGCAACGAAGTCGAGAAGACCCTCCGCTACTTCCCTATTTCCTCTGGAAAGAAGAATTGTTACTCCGTGCCCCTCCCCTCGGGCCGTTATTATATCCGCACTTTCACTGTATATGATAACTACGACGGGAAATCTCATCCTCCGTCCTTTGATGTTTCCGTCGAGGGCACTCTCGTCTTCTCGTGGAGATCCCCCTGGCCTCAAGGTATCCACCGTGATGGTGCTTATTCGGATCTTTTCGCCTTTGTTAAAGACGGTGAACTGGACGTCTGTTTTTACAGCATTGCCACTGATTCTCCCGTCGTCGGCGCTCTTGAAGTCGTTCAGATCGACCCGCTGTCGTACGACTCCGCAAGGACTGGTGACGGTTACATCCTAGTCAATTACGGGAGGTTATCCACTGGTTCGGAACAATGGGGTCCCGGGTTCACATCTGACCCGGACCCTTTCGGCCGGTCATGGCAGTCTGATACTCAATTCCGCAACCAGAATTCAAAATCCGCAACAACAATTACCACTAAGGAGAAAATCTCCGGTACTGATCAAGCCCCGAATTATTTCCCGATGAAACTTTACCAATCGGCAGTGACGACCATGGGGGCATTAGAGTACGAATTATCAGTAGATGCAAAGGTCGATTACTTGCTCTGGTTCCATTTCGCCGAGATTGATTCAACTGTTAAAAAGGATGGGAAAAGGGTGTTTGACCTGGTGGTCAACGGGATGAATGTCAGCAGAGTGGATATATACAAGGAGGCCGGGGGTGGTTTCGCAGCCTACAGTTTGAATTATACGGTGAAGAATTTGAGCAGCACTGTGTTGAGCGTGAGGTTGGAGCCAGTAACGGGGTATCCATTACTCAGTGGGCTTGAGAATTACGCGGTGGTTCCGGCGGATATGTCGACGGTACCTGAGCAAGGTAATGTGGATATTTTCTTTTGGATTTTGATAGAGTTGAAGGTGCTCTGAATTTCTTTGGTTTTTGATGCAATTGGGAACTTGGTTTAGAAAATTGAAGCATGTTTGTAGGGGCTGAGATTATAATTAAGCTATTTCTCAACTTGTATTGTTTTTTCACTAGAAAAGGCAAAGGGAAATGGTAGGAATATTTTTGTGTTATGTTCATGCTAAAGGAGGGAAATGAATTGAGGTTAGAATACCCTTTTTTCCTTTTTGTATAGCTGTTGCTATGAGAGCACTGAAAGAGTCCCTGCGTGTTCCTGATCGTATGGGTTGGAATGGTGATCCTTGTGCACCTACTAATTGGGATGCTTGGGAGGGAGTTACATGCCATCCCATTCAGAATAATACCGCCCTTGTCATAACTCAAATGTAAGTGCTGCTTCTATTCCTATTACAAATCTAATGGCTGGTGTCTTTAAGTTCTGGATATGCAATGGACCACTGAAACTGGTTAGATAGGAGCTTTGATACAAACTTGTTTAGCTAACTTATGCTACATTTTAGGATCATAACTTGTTGCTGGATCGTAGAATACCAATAATGGTAATTTTCCTTTAATTCTAATGTATAATTGGGTGATAGATTAGAACTCGCTTTTAATGCAATTGTTGGATAACATGGCAATTCATAATTGGTCATTGTTAATGGGATTTTATACTTGTTACCAATTTCCAATAGCTTTTGTGCTCACTCCTTTTTTCTTTTTTTCTTTTTTTTGTGGTAAAAATCACGCTTACTTATATGTTTGTTATAAACACACAGTTGAATGCAGTGAAGTAGAAACTAGTTTACTTTTAAATAGGTAGAAACTAATTTAGTTGAGGTGATGTAACTGATGGATTTTCTTACTAAAAACATCTTAAATAGAGAAATTAACTAAATAGAAGGAATGGCTGGATGACTTGTTAATAGTTAAAAATCTATCAATAAATTAAATCGTTTCATGTTGCTGACTTTTATTGTTGCATTGAGAAATTAATATTTTACGAATCCTAATTTTAACACATGGGAGCTTTCATGCTGATTTTATTTCTTCTCCACCCCAATTGCATGTGAAAATGTGATGCCAGATATAAATTTCAAGGCACTCAGGAATAGGGTTTTTTGTGCTTTTAGGAGTTTGTTTTGGTAGAAAATATGATGCAACATTTTGTCACCAATTTTTCTTTCTTTGGTGTTGTGCTTGGGAATGGAGAAGTGGCTAACATGGAAGAACTACCCGAGGCAGAGAGAGCCTCTGCAGCAATGTAGATAATCCCTAAATAAAGCCAATCTTTTGTGATCATATGTTTTCAGAAAGTTATTAATCAAGCACATTTTTTGTCTCCGTCTATCCTTTATTTTTATTTTATTTTGTTTTGATTGCATGCTGGTGCATTTCAGAGATCTTGGAAGTCAGGGTCTGAAAGGGTATATCAGTGACCAGATTAGTCTTCTTTCAAACTTGGTAAACCTGTAAGTGTCAACTGATAATCTTTTGTGTACTCAATATCATAAATAAAGCATTATATGCTCAAAATCATAGCTTCAAGATATGGGGAATATAAAGTCATCGGTCATCCAACAGCAAGCATCGAATCTTCTTTTGTAACTCATCTATATCAGTGCATGTAAAATGACAGGCTGTAGGTCATTTCTGTTATTTCCTTAATCCTTCCCAATCTTTGGTTTGTTTAATTTCATTGTTTGTCATTTTAAAATTGACAGGAACTTAAGTTCTAATTCTTTGACTGGTGCTCTACCGGATGGCCTCTGTCAAAAATCTCTTAAAGGACTGTAAGTAGTGTACCTTTCTTTCGTTATCCACCTTTACTTCACTGAATAGCTGCCTTCTAGCCATTAAGTCAACAAGTTCAGTGTTGACTTGATATTATGTTCTTAAGTGGTAACCAATATTGATATAATAGCATTGTTCATAGCATTGCTTTTCTTGTCTTCTTGTAGATTTTCTGCTAAAACTAGTCTAGTTTGCCACTTGTAATCTTATTAATTGAGGAGCTTTCTTTTTTATTTAGTTGCTTTTGCTATTCATTTCTTCTGTTTCACAAAATGAGCTGTTTTTAATTTTTGGTACATTTTTTTTCCAGTTTCTTCTTTTTATCCATATCATTATTCTTTTTTTATCATTCAATCTTCACTGTTTTCAAATGTAGATTTTGCTTTCAAATTTGCAGGGATTTATCAAACAATCAATTTTCAGGTTCCATACCAGAGAGCTTAACTTCTTCAAATCTGCAGCTTGTGTAAGTAATGTGAATATATTTTTATGAATTTGGGCATTTAATTCAATAACATTGCAGTTCTGCATTTTACTCCCTATTGTTTTTAATTTGAATTTTCTTTTCCTTTATTTGTCAATAGCTCCTTCTTCTTCGTTTTTTTTTTTTTTTTTTTTTTTTTCTCTCTATCATCATTAACTTAATTGCAACCTTGTGGAAGTAGACATCCCTGGTTTTTTAGTAATGGCACTAAGGTGGGGTGGGGAAGGGATGGGAGAGATTTATCTCCCATTGTCTGACCCACAAAAAAAAAAAAGAAAAGAAAAAACTTCCCATCCATTTAGATATAGGGTTCTCTGACTTGTGAGGACGGAGTTACTCGACTTGCGCCCTAAAATCAACAGTAGCTCAATTCAACTAAAATGTCAGACTTTTGCATTTTATACTGAAAGAATGATCGTGAATAGTTATGATTTTATCTAGACTCTTGAAGTTATTTAATTTATTTGATGTAGATGTTTCTTTGCTTTCATTTTAATAAATCTTGCTCATGTGTCAGACTACTCAATGATAACTTGTTGGAAGGACGAGTGCCAGAGGAGCTTTATTCCATTGGTGTGCATGGCGGATCCATTGAGTATGCTACACTTCATATTGTTTTTTCTTTTAGTTTTTTATTCAAACTTCATAGCGTTGAAATTCTTAGATCTGCCTAAATTCAACTTTTGAAACCCCACCATATCCTCTGATTTATGCTATGGAAACTGACCATGATATTTGAAACATTCCTCCTTTTTAATAATTCTTCAAAAAGTTCCCTTAATTGGACATCATAACTCATTGAAGGATGTATTTTAAAGCTGTACAAAGGTGAAATTCTTTACAACTCACTGTCTCACTGATGTTATTTATAGTCTTTATTTACATGGATAGCGTTGCTGTATGTTACACTTGGTGGTGTGACTATATCGTTTAGGTCGTGTGCCCACCAAATAATTGATTATATGTTGCTAATTTGAGTCTTCTGGAAATATCTCTTTTGCATGATTATCTTAACCACTTGGACTTCTCCCCCTTGCAGTCTCTCTGGCAACAAAGGTTTGTGTGGGGTACCTTCTTTGCCAGATTGCCCTCTATTTTGGGAAAATGGCCACTTATCTAAGGGTGGTAAAATTGCAATAGCCCTATCATGTCTGTTCTTCATTGGCATCGTGGTGTTGGTTGTATGTATAATCTACATCAGGAGGCGTAGAAATTATTATGACTTTGCTCTGCCGCAAGATTTAATTTGTAAGTGTAACATAGAGCAGTTCAAGTCTATTCTGTCTTTCATTTGTTCTTGTCTAGGTTTTGAAATGTATATCCTCCAATTGGTTGGCCTCTCATCTTGCCTAAGCTCCACATGGTACACACAACAATTTTTCTCTAGAAGATGGCTTGAATAAAAGAGTCCGAAATTAAGTAATTGACCTGGTTTTCCTTAACATCTAGTTGTGCACTTAAGAAGATTTATCCTTACTAATCACTTCAAAATGTGAATTTAAATGTCTTTACAATCTTGAAATGAGAACCTAGTGTAGTAAGATCCACAGTTGGAATAGTGTGATTGTCTTGGGCTTTGAAAATTAGTTAGCTTATGAGAATGACTACTATATTAACCGAATAAAGGAGCAATGGGGTATAAATGGTATGTTCATGAACCATTTGAGTAGAGTTCAAAATGATCACGTCACCATTCAGACAATGCTGGTTTCACTAATGATTTTATAGATAAGCCCTCCTTGAGGTAAAGACAATGGTAGTTATTCTAGTGCCCTCAATACTGCCATTCAGCATTTCAAGATTATACCCATTTTAATATTAAGCATTCCCTTTGTCATTTGGATAGAGGGCTGCTTCAGCTATATGATTGTCCTTAGTTTGAATAGGATCTAATCGCAAGCAAAAATGTAAGCAGCTCTGGAGCTAGGTGTCTGACTCTACCCACGATGTGCATTATTATGTTCTGCTGTCCTGTATAAGTTTATATATAAACTGAACCCATAGTTTGGAATTGTTTTTCCATATATCCTTGGCATCCACAAACTCTTTCTGATACCTGAGATTTGTGTCATTTCATGAATACCGTAGTTGATAACAATAACAGAAACTGTTCTTGGAAATTCAGTTTGTTTTGTAGTAAGCTTGTTACTTAGAATGCCATTTGAAATAATCATTTCAGTTAACTTCCAGTTGTTTTCCTGATTTATTTTAGATACATGTTTGCAGCTAGTTGGATTCCATAGTTTCTGCTCTAATTCTGATTTTCATTTTGTATTATGACTTTGTTGCAGCCGTTGCTGCTAAGAGAAACAGATATCAAAGGCAAAAGTCCTTGATGCTTCTTGAAATGGAGAGCCAACATGCCAAAGGATTGTCATCAATCCCTCTAAATCAGTAAATCCTCGTTAGCAGTCTTGTTGAAAGGTACAGATACTGATTTTGATAGTTAGACCACACACCAAGAAGGAATAGACTGGACCATATGATTGTGATTTATAGGGAATACTATCATGTGAGTTGCTCCTGCTTCAAAAAGATGAGCTGTTGGCTTTCAACAAACTGAACCAAAATGGGCCTTTGAGAGGCATCTTTTGTGGAAAATGCAGTGTATCTCATTCATTTTTCTGGCTGATAAAAGGCATAAGCCTCCTATACAATGTATCATATCTTTGCAGAGTTTGGTGAAAAAATACATCATAAATGGACGCTTCATTGTTTGTAAATGACAATACTAATTTATACACAATGGTCCCAGGTACATTAATAGATTGCTTTCTTATCTTTACTATTAAGCTGATTCTTTCTCCAATACAATTCTTATTTGTTGAACATGCCGGAACGCTTGGTTAGTTTATCAGGTACGAGTTAAAAATTTCCTACATGTGCCTTTCCGTAGTAAGGGTACCTCTGATGGTTAAAAGTAGAAGCTTCTAGGAAACAAACTGGTATTTCTTCTATCAGATGGTGATCATGTGCAGTATGTTCTAATGATCATCTAATAATCATTGATGAGGAGCGGGTTTCTTGATATTGAGGTGGTTCTCCCCATCAATAACTATAAAATGAATAATCTGCCTAAGGCGGGGTGCAAAACAACAGTATCTTTTATTTTAGGTTAAATCTTTAATTTGATCCCTTAACTATTATATGGACCCCCAATTTGGTTCCTAAACTAAAAAAATCTCCCATTTGATCCCTAAACTATTGTACAAACCCTCGATTTGATCCTTACTATTTATCAATTTACCTCAAGTTGGTTCTTTTGTACAAAAACCAACTAACGTATCTTATTATTAACATAACATGTGATCATTAAGTTATTATTTTTTATTATTAAGTTACTATTTTTCGCCATTAAATAACGGATACATCAGCTATTTTTTGTATAGAATGATCAACTTGGGGCAAATTAATAAACAGTATGAACCAAAATAGGGATCTGTATAATAATTTAGGGACCAAATTACAAATTTTTTTAGTTCAAGGATCAAATCCGAGATTTGTACAATAGTTCAGGTACAAAATTGAAAATTTAACCTTTATTTTATATAATGTAGTCGTAGTAAAAATATTACATGGCATTTCTTTGATGTCCCCGACTGCATGCGATAATTCCACTATTTAAAGGATTGAAAATTAAAATGGAGATCTGAGTGCCATTAAACCACAGATTAAGCATTCAACGAGCATGAAGCAAGCAGTGAAAACAAAGACCAGCAACGTATGCAGCAAACCAGGAGTACAGCTCATTTGAGCTTGTCTTTGTCAAAGGTTTCGAGAAAAAATAAAGTAAGAAAATCTGCTGGCAGTATAATGCAATTGGAAATGTTGTCGTGCTCAAGTTACTTTTGCATGAGGAATCAGTTGCGGTTTCACATTCTATTTCTTGATGAGAGCAGAAATGTCAAAAGCAAAGGCTTTAAAAAACTAACAAAGACTTTGAACATTACTACCAGGGGAAGTACTACCTTCGTGCTACCACGGACTTTAGGCTCCTTGCTAGAAATTTCCATACGAACCAATTAATAAAGGACCCACCCTTCTGTTGCCTGTTGCCTTCATCATGCTGCTTCTTGTTGACTGACACTTGCCTTGTTGAAAATCATTTGATTCATCATCTTATCAAGTCCTTCAATTTTCTTTCCATTTTTCACCCCCTACATTTAGGATTCTTAATTTTTATAAGGTAAAACAACTGTTTTCATTCAAACCCCATAGCACTTTTTTTTTTAATTAGTGAAAAATTAGTGTTTAATTGTCACAAAGATTTTTAATTTGTGACTTTAACTTATATTTTAATAACTTTTAAAAATCTGATTTAGACTTGAGATATTTTATAATTTTAACAGATTTCTAAGGTATTTAATATAAACCACTTGTCTCGATTGACTTGATAATTGATACTCTTTTGTTAAAAAAACAAACATTGCTTATTTCTTTTGAGAATTTTAGATTCAAAGTCTAGTATATATCTATAGTCATCATTTGATCTTGGACTGAAAATTTTACTTTTTGGAAATCAACTTTTCAAATTTGTCACATTCACACATGGTTTTTCTTAACTGCGGAATCCAAGGATGAAATAGTTTAGGGATATGAAAATGAAATCAGGCTAAAAAATGGGGTGACGAGGCTTCTAATCTCTGGAATCACATAAAACACTCAGAATTTAGGTTTTGACCTGACTGACCAACCCAAAACCAATTAAAATCCCAATTTGAAATTTCTTTTTCTGGTCTAAGGCAATTTCCTACACATAAATAATTAAATAATTAATAATAATTTTGAACATTCTTTGCTGCAAAAGATACAAAGACTATCCACAATCATGTCTAACACAATACGACTTTTCTAGGAAAATTTAAAAGAAGAAAAAAATGCACCCCTGAATTTTGCCCATTGAGTATGAAGTTGGAAATTTCAAAAAAAAAAAAAAAAAGAGAGGAGTATGAAGTTAGAATTCAAATCCAGTCATCTTAAACATTCTGAGTTTTATTATAAACATATTTATTATCCCAAATGATCTCTACAATTAAGTTCTAATCCATAATTATTGCATTTTTTGAGAAACGACCTTTTTTTAGACTGAATTCTCAAGAAAAAAATTGTTAGTCTGAGGTGGAAATTTCTTTTTGACTATTATTGAAAACCCCATTTGTGTGATATTGAAAAACTTATAATAACGTCAAAAGTGAAATTATCAGATCGGATTAATAATGGCTGAAAATTTCTTTTCTCGAATTATTTTTCTTTATTGTCAATTTGCCTTGATGCCAGAACGGAGCCGCGTGGTCTTCCTAAAGACCACCACAGAAACACGCACAATTGTGGAAAAAAAAATAAATCTTAGAAAACAAGGAGATGATTGTAGCTGATTCTTTGGTCTTGGTGTAGTTGGTAAAATAAGCTTGTCGTGTTAAATAAGTTGGAAAATTATTGCCTAACATCACTTGATGTATCTGAGAAAATTACTATGGTCGATATTTTTATACTAATTTATATAATTTTTCTTGTTCATAACATAAATTTTAATATCTTAATATAAATGATCTAATTTTAACTTAATTAAAGTGACCCATGATTGTACTCAAATAATTATAAATATATATTTATCAAAAAAAGTATAATGAGTTTAGATTGTATTATAATAATTATTAAATAGAGATTTAATTTCTTAATATTAAGATTTTTTTTATTTAATTATTTTTATTTTATAATTTAATACAATTTAAATTATAAAACAAAATTACCAATGAAAATGATTGAATAACCTGAATTAATGAAATAATGAATCGCAAGTTCGCCGTCCGGCATTGACTTCTCCAGTCTCCATGGCCCCATCCGATAATCAATCCGAGCGAGCAGTCACCGTCACCGTCACCACCGCCACTGCTTCCTCCACCCATACCGCTTTAAATTAGGAATATTCTCTCTTTGGTCGCCCTTTAGGGTGAGTTTGGACAACGGGGCGGGGGCCCCTGCCAATTTAATTACCAAGGGCATGCAGTTGTCCTTGTCCAAGTCAGTTTGAACCATGGTGGAGACCATGGTTTTGGCGCACCTCATCCACCGCAGCTAGGGCTGCCGGTGCTCAGATATCCAATTCGGAACTCTCTAATTAAACTTTGTTTAAAGAGTTTATATTTTATAATTTAAATTGTATTAAATTATAAAAAAATTATTAAATAAAAATAACTTTAATTATTAGAGAGTTTACCTCATTTAATAATTATATTATATAATCTAAAATAACTTAAATTTCACAACACTTTTTTTTTTGAATAAGTTGTCAAGGAGCGAACTCGAAACCGTCCATAAAAAAAGAAAAATACATCTCAAGTTGGCAGGCTGCCAGTTGACCTGAAAAGCCAAGTGAAACTTCACAACACTTTTTTTTTTTAAACAATGGGAATTTTCTTTGGGGGATGAGGAAGGGAGGACTTGGAATTGAACTCAAGTTCAACTAGTCTTAAGCACGTCTTACCTTGCAGCGAGACTAGTTGGCCTCAAGTGCTGGACATTTCACAACACTCTTTGGTGGCTTTTTTTTTTCTAAAAACCAATTAATTAGTGTAGTATACAAGGCATAGTACTTAGTCTTCCCAATACCAACTTTAGGAAATCAATTGGGGGAATCCATTGACTTGGTTGACCTGGATTTTCATTTAAAAAAAAAAAAGAAAATGTAGAAAAAGTATATATAAAAATAAAAATAATAAAATATTGCAAGTAGGAGTGGCAAGTAGGAGCAGAAAGAAGAGATG